TCGATACTAATCAATATTCCTACACTACACAGTTCGAGCTGGTCTGCTGTAGGAACAGAACCCCCCACAGTGTTATTACCACAACGCTGCATAACACCTGTACGTCAAGTACCTTCAATGTGGTGTTTTCCTCATCGTAGAATGCTATCAGAAATATGAAGATTGCGCTGGCTTAATAGGACGGCCAGCCGATGGATTTTGTCAGCTCAAAGTATTTGTATCCAATGTTGGGGTATCGCCCGATCGCAGTATGATATCTTAGCTACTCGAGTAGAGACGTCTCAGAGGCACCACAACACAGCCCTTGGGGGGGGGGAGTGGTGGGAGAAAGTCATTCTTCATCAATCACAGATACAGATTAGTTCGGATTATGGCGCGCCGAGACCAGGAATACAAACCTTAATAACAATATATCGTCGTGTTTTATCTTAAGCCTATCCTCCACCTAAAACGGGTACCAAAATAAAACCTTGATACTGGACAGAAGCGCTCTCTCGAGTGATATATGATGACCCCTTCCAAAAATCACCCAGCCCAAACATAACCCCTTACAACCCCCAATTCCAATCCGCCCCTTCAAATAGCGACCGCGGGTTGTGAACTCCCGATCCGCCCTGTCATATCATACATAAGTAGTATAAACCGAAGGCATCCCTTTCTAGGCCCTATCACTCGGAAACAAACTCCAACGATTCCCTACTGCTGCTAAGCCTACGGAAGATTTCTAAACATTTAACCCCCGCTAAGAGCATGGGGCCTATCGCTCCTGTGTTTCTCGGATCCTAGCTTGAGAGTTGCTTGTGAAGGAAAGAGAAAACATCTAGTCGAGTAAAAGTTCATACGAGTTCTCAGTATTACGGGAGGTTATGACCATTCAGACTGAATGGAGGTTTTGTTGACTTGTTTGATGGATTGAAAGGTATCCTGTATCACGGTTGCACTCCACTCGCTAGGTTTTTTTTTTTTTTTTTTTGTTTATTTTTGGGAATGTATGATACAGGTGGTTCTGGTTTCGTTTCCACATTCTCCACCACCATCCCTTCCACTTGAGTGTCCCCCCTACTCACTCCTCGCGTGAGGGTTCGAAGATGAAAAAAAAAAACCTCACGATTCCAAGAAATCCTGCCCCACGAGCACACCGACCGCCCGCCAAATTCGTAAAGTGTTCGGATATAGACAAACCGCCTGGGCGCCAAGGTGTCCAATCCGGTATAGTAAGAAGTAACTGTGATAAGGCATTGCTCCGGCTCCCCTTGAAGCAAGCAGAAAATTGAGGGTCCTATCCGGTATGGTAAGCGTCTTGGCGCCAAGGTGGTTCCATTTTATATCTGGCTTTATCATACTTGTACTTTTTCCAGGTCGGTGAGAAGGGTACTCGAGTATGGTACGGGCATGATATACCACCAATGAATGGCCTATAGAGTCAAGTGCTTTCCCATTAACATCAATGGATGCCCTCTGCAAGTTCCGGTAATGATAACCCTAGGCTGTCATAGGCTCACTTCACGACCAGCCCAATCCAATCTCTCCTACCCAATTGGAGCTTTTTTTTTTCTGGAGTTCCCCCCTTGGATCGTTTACAGGAAACTCCCACAAGTTTGACCAAGATGGCGACAACTCCTTCGGGGTATATATATAGCCTGGGGGAGGGCGGATATTGCTCGAAATGGAGAAGCCCCCGGACTTTTGCTGAACTCGAGGATTTCCCGGGGAGGCAACCCAGAAGGGACTCCGGGAAAAAAGGCTTCATCATCATCACCAACCAACCAACCCACCGCGTTAGACTAAAGTCAAACCAACGTTTCAACCATAACATAACAGGTGCGGCGGTTAAAAAAAAAAAAAAAAAACGCCGCCTAACAGTTGGTGACGCTGCAACACCTACGAGTAAACATCCAGCAACAAAAAACCCCCCTCTCGCTAAGGCAGAAAAAGGCCGAGATGCAGCGCACACACACACACTCCAATCGTATGCATAATGCCACAACCTCCCCGCTGGCGTCCGCTCTGAACGTAGGGGAAGTGAAGACGAGCTGACGTAGCGGCGGATTACATACTCGAGTACAGAACTGTACCTGTACTAGTACTCATACAGCGAAGGGACCTTTTTGCGATTTCGCATCCGGGGGCTGATCAAATCCTGGTAATCAATCTGGTTGCTCCGGAGCCGCATCCGCCTCACATCCGGGGTTTTTCTCTTTGCAAAAGTCCCAGTGTCCCGTATCCATGTTTCCCATCATGGATAGACGAACTATGGTAGTCGACTAAGCAATTCTCTACTAAACTGTGTTTATGTGCCGTACCCGTGCAGTACCGGTACGAGTATCATACTGTTGCTGTGCTCGAGTATGGCCAGGCAGGGAGGGTAACTTGGGTCAAAGCAGGGAAGATGGTGGCTCGGCTTTCCTGGCCTAAAACTACAGGTACAGTACAGTACTTGTAACCGCCCTCGCCTTCCCTGCTGATAGGGGTACAATACAGTGCCGGTAAGATGATCGTCTTGAGGCGCGATATCAACCGATTGTGGAATATCATCATGCCGGCAGACTCGCACTGTGTGTGCTGCTGTGTGATGGATATGATTGTGTAATTATCGGACTCGACTACCGGTAGGGCAGGTGTGCAGTACCGGTACTCCAGTAGGATATGGTATGAGTACTACTCGTATTATTACTCGTATCATATTGCCGATAGTACGATACAAGTTTAGTTTATCAGACCGATATGAATGAACTGCTGTATGATACCGGTATCTCATCCTCGGCGTTGACCTTTGACTTGACAGCGGCAGCGGACGATCTCGCTCGCTCGCTCTGGTACGGTGGTGTATTTAATCGTTAAATTTCATTCAATTCAATTAATTTATGATACCTGTTTATTGGGAGGTAAACGGAATGAGTCCGGGCGTTGATAACCGCTGGCCATCCGATGTTTACAACACGGTGACCTGAATCCTACCAACTCTATGGAATAGAACCTTGCAACAACAAAACACTTGTACCCGCACTAGTCTCCAGAGGAAGATAAGAGTGGTATGATGATGGCACCATATGAGGATGGTGAATTTATTGGTTCTCCATGGCAAGGGTCACTTTTCTACTCGAGTATGATACCTGTACAGTACTCGTCCAGTACTGTACCCGTCAAGGCATGAGAAGGGGTGATACAGTGCTCGTGCCAAGTACGAGTACAGTACAGTACCGGCGCAATCGCAGCTGGATGAAATTTTTTTTTTGCCTTCCCCCCATCCGCCACAGATGAAGGTGAGACGCACAGACATTCTACCACACAAGATTTTCGGGGGGGGGGGCGAGATGGTTGGAAGGAAAGAAGGTGTGCGGTGGTGGTGGGCGGGTGGAAGTTGTTAATAGGGTGATACGACTTGCGAACGTATTAAGACTAGTGCGACGTTTTGCTGAGGTCTCAGTGGCGGAACTTGAAACCTTCAATGCATTGGCACCCGATCGGGGCATTTGGGGGGGGAGGAGAGCATCTGTGATATCCATCCAGGATATCTGATGCCGCATGGCATAGCATGGCATGGTTCATCTTATGAGATGGGTTTTTTTTTTCTTTCTTTCTCCTCTCGCTCGTCGGTTCGTTCGTTGAGAAAGTCATTGCTCTGGAGCTGAGTTGCCGCTACGAGTACTGTACTGTACGAGTACTTGCACTTGGACAGCTGAGCGGGTCGGTAGGCGTTGGACAGATCTAATTGGCCTGCGATTGGCGTTACTTGTGCAGTATCCCGTTACCTTGGCGCTTGAAAGAAAGTTGTTCCACAGTCATCATTGGTGGCTGTGGATGAGTACCGGTATTCTACAAGTATCGTATGAAATACCTACCGGTGCTGTGCGAGTGCCGGTATTTTACAGTACTCGTACTTGTATGATACTCGTACTTCCAGTAGGGTAGGAGAGGGTCGCCATCTCATCCATGGATTCAATATAATTTATTTTTATCCTTGTATCGCCGACCCGGCATCAACAATGGAAATGCTGGTTCAACTTGAAAAACAATCATGTGGTGAGCCCTATGATGCATAGTCCTCCATCGAGTGCCATTTGTATCCTTGAAGGGTAAAGGGCCATTAGTTTTCAAATCGCTTTCCCTCCTCCTCCATACAATTTCCTCTCCCTTCTCCCTTCCCTACTCCTCCTCCCTTCTCCACTCTCCACTTCTCAACTGTAAAAGCATCCCCCTACTCCCTCCCCGGCACAGGCATAGGTTAACCGAGCGGTTGCATAAAACATACGATATCCCACTACCACCACCACCACTTTCCCCTTCAGACTGAACGCTCACCGCTCTCACGCCCTTCGAGTATCATAATACCCGGGGCAAGTTCAGACCTCGTCGTGTCACAAAAGCTCCGCTTTTTAAAGGGTACACGTCTTCAAAACACTCTGACCCTCCTCCACCACCGTTGTTGGTACGAGTACTTTCTTCCCCTTCACTCTACCCAACACATATTACTCTTCTTCCTTTTCGTGCGACTGGCCCATTGCACCAAGTTACAGCCCTCGTGGTTATCGGGAACCAGTGTGGGGAGAGTAGAGTACTCGTACAGTACTCGTATTGGTTTTGCAAAAAGGTGGGCATCACAAATCTGACAATCCCTTTTCCCTTCTTGTCCGTTTCCACAAATCATTATTATCCATTTACAACAAGTACCTTTCAACCACCCTTGGCGCCCCTTTGGCTCGATTTCTCATTATTTTCTTCCTGCAGGAACCGGTTTGTAAAGTACCCTCTCATTGGACGCCTCGTCCTGCACTTGATATCCCTTCTCACCACCCTTTTTCCCCCCTTGCAGGAAGCGCCCACCGTTTATCGTCTGCCCATTCATACCCTTTCCATTGGCCGCTCCCTTCTCGTCCCTTTTCACTTCTCTCCCCTTCCCACCTCTTTTCCACTTTCTTTTCCTTTCCCTTTCCCTTTTCTCTCCCCCCCCCCCCAACCCCTCCTTCATTTCATCCTTCCCTTCTGTTTCTAACCGTGCAGCTGGACGCCGTGACAGTTGCCCAGTTCATTCTTTACCTTTCTTCTTCTCTCTCCGCTAACCGGCTTCCGCCCAGCGCCGGCGCTGTCTCTCTCTGTCGGATCTTTTTAACCGTTTTCCCTTTTTGAAGAAGAAAGAAAGAATATTAGAAGATAGATAGAAGGGGTGGAGGGACCAGATAGCTTGATCACCCGCGCCCATCTCCGAATTATCATTACGGTAACGACAAACACGGTTAATCATCTACTTCGCTTCTTTCGCCGACACGATCCGAGACCTCGGGTCGACACACACTCTTTACTGGTGCAAAGGTTTCCTTTCCAATCCAAGCTCTTAGGTATGTACCCGCTTTTAATTAGCCTGCTACGTGCCAGCGCTTGTACATACACAAGTCATGTGTATGTTAATAGTGCTGGGTGTTCCCTTCCTTCCACTCTAATTTATTCCCTTCACTCCCCCCGCCTTTTCCATTTTTCCCCCTTACTCTTTCTCCATTCCATTCCCTTTGTTCTATATATCGGTTGCCTCCAATAGCTGGGTTACATTTTATTATTCTAGTTACGGGGTGGGAGGGGTGACTAACAGATATCTACCAACCAGCTACCACGTTCCACTACCTTCTTTCCTTCTCACGACAAACACACACCAACCAATCACAACGATGCAGAGCACCGTCCTTTCATATTTACTGTTGGCGGTGTCGGCGCTGAGCGTCGTCACAACAGCACTTTCAAGTCCCGCCGCAATGCTGATAGTACCCGGGGGCGTACCGGAGTCGGAGTCCGACTGGCACAACCTGCTTCGCAGAGATGCGGATGACAAGATTGTCCGACGTCAATCATCGAGTGGGGCGAGGAATGAGTCTGATATCGAGAAACTGGATCTGCAGAGTTGGGCGAGGGAGACGACGCTCAGGTGTATCGACAAATTGAGGAACGTTACAAAGGCTTCCAACCCTTCTGGCATCGCCGTCTGCTACAACCTTCCATTTTTGAGCACCAAGTCGGGCGTTTTTGCCGCCGATTTGAGGCTTTACCAGGTTTCGGCTCCGGAGGGGGATTGGGCTACTGTTGGGGGGAACATTGATGTCTCTTTGATGTATAATGGCGCGGCTGTACAAGTGAGGAACGAAACCGCCGAGGAAGCGGCCGCAACGGCACAGGCCTCTGCGAATTCTGAGGGGCCCCAAAAGGTCCAGGAGTTTCACTTTATTGGGCAGATTGACAAGATGCTTTTGGCCGATGACATGTCTGAGTATGTTTTTTTTTTACTTTCTGGAAAGATCGAGATCAGATAAATGGAATGGTGGCTAAGTAATGTTTGGTTATAGTCTCGAAATGCAGAACATGTTGAAGCCGAATATCTCCCTTTTCGCAAACACTCCTGGGGGCGCGCAATTAACCACGGTCCTCTCCGCTGACGAGGCAACTTTTGTCAACGGCATATTCGCGGACGTAGCCCCAGCCGGCCAAAACAATACAGCGGCTATTGACGCCCCGTTCAAACTCCCGGGAACCAGAATCGAGATTGTACCGATTGGACTGTACTTTTTCGGAACTTATTTGGTCATTGCGTGCTCTATCTTTGGATGGGGTATTTAAATTCCTCCCATAATAGTGAAAAACATTCACTAACGATAATTTTGATAGGCACCTTTGAAAGACAAAAGTTCCGAGACCAATATCGCAAGAGAATTGCACAGAAGGGGGCAGCCGGTGGTCGAGGGGGAATTTGAAGCAAGTTTCCTTGGTTCTTCATTTTTTCCTTTACCCTCCTTCCCTTCCCAGTCTTGACCCAACCGTGCTGTTTTTTTCTCCCCGTCTTAGCCCAGCATTTATCATAGTCTTATTATATACATAGAAATCCATTCTTGTATTATTTATTATTTTTTGTGAAGGTTAGCGTCTACTCTTCCTTTTTTTCTGTGGATACTTTGGAATAGGTGGTCTTGTTTGGTTGGTCGGTTTGATTGGTAGCGGTTGTTTTTTTACTTTTTATTTACTTTTTTATGCACTTTTCTTTTGCAGGTACTTTTTTAGTTGGGGGCATCTATGGAGTTTTTTCCCTTGAGTGTTTCTGCCTTTTCGAGGGTTTGGTATAATTGGGATATCTGTAGTTGATGGAGGAAGGCAGTGAATGGACGGGTCAGTGGGTGGGGGATGGAGGAGTAGGAGGAGAGGAGAAAATAAACTTGACTTAATAATAAGAGATTCGGTAATATAGCCGATTTTTGAGCATTGCTCTTTTTGGTTTTTTGAAAGTGGTGGTGGGGATGGTGTGATGGGATATGATAATCTTGCGTGAAACTTTGAAGCCTTTGATAATGTATGATATTGTGCTTTGAGGAGATGACATTGAAGCTCAAAAGCCTAATAATAATATCCACTTCTGCTACGCCAACTTATCTCCTTAACATGAATAGCGGTAACGAGAGTAATGGATCATGAAGCATCACTGCGACCAATTCAACTCGACAGAATTATCATACCTTCGACTTTTCCCACGATTGCTTCTCTCTCTCTCTCTTCCTTCCTTCCTCCCATACCGCCTAATACCCACCCACTTCACCCACTTCACGCTGACCCAACCCGGCAACGTCTGTACCATACGATAAAAACTCCCTGGATAGACGTGCCGCACGCGATACAGCTCACCCACCCACCCACCGAGTTTCTCCCCCGAACCACGACTAACTGCCATGGGCGAAGGTGAGAGAATTGTCATCCAGGAACCTGACGGCGGTGCAGTGTTCGGGACTGGATAATTGTGTCCCTGCTTTAGCTCGTAGCAATAAAACTCTCCGTGCAAGAAAGACCATCACCGCGCCGCCGCCACACAGCACACCAGCCCCGGTCCCATAAATAGTTTCCCCCCCCCCCGGCACAAGCTTACTGTAGGCCCCTGAGGCGGACAAAAGGGAAAAAAAAGTAGGATATATAAATAGTAAACCCTAGCCCTAGCACCTGCCGATCTCCCGATTCCGAGGAAGGAGTACGGGTTGAGCCACTGACGTAGCGTAAACAAACCCCGCCTCTGGGATGACTATGGCCTTGTGGGGAGGGGGGGCTCAAGTGGGCATCATGGGCCATAGTACGAGTACTCGAGTACCGTAGTCTATCGTGGGATTGGGGATATCGACCAAGAGGGTAGTTTTGGAAATTTTTAATGATAATGGAAATGGTTTTAAATATGGTACCTATGTAAAAAAAGAAACTAATTATCACTACTTCTTGCATATCTCGTGGCATAGAAGAGCTGGCTTTTTTTTTGTTTTTGATACGTCCGCCCCGTCCAATGTGTTTCCCCGAGCAGAAAGAGAATTCAGAAAAAACACTGGGCAGACTAATAAAGGAGAAAGACATGGAATGAAAAATGACTTTTTTCCCAGGAAAAAAATAAAAATTTAAGTCAAGAAAAAGAAAGGACATGCATACTTTCCTTACAGACATTATCATGGCCCGTTGCGTGCAGTATTTTTTTGTGTTCCTCCTTCCTTTTTAATTCCTCCCCAAAGACATCACTTATTTTCTCCTCCCTCTCCCCCTCAAACTCATGCTGCGGAAGACGCCCGTTAGCCAACCGGTGGTTCACACCCATACATACTTAAACAACAGGCGTCCCATCGAAATCAAAAAGTAGCAAATCAAAAAAATACAGCTTTGCTATCATACCTTCCCATCATAACTATACTTTCTGGAAGGATAGGGGAAAGCAATAAGGTCAACGAAAAAAAAGGAAGAGTTAAAAACGAGAATGCCACCGATATATAAAAAAGAGAATAAAGAAAAAAAAATCACCATCCTAAGCTTAAAACGAAACGAGAAGAACAGCAATCCCGGGTAAATGGTATAATGGATAGACATGACAAGAATATGTGGAAAAATAAAGGTCCACTAGAAAAAAAGCCCCAGAAGGAAAAAGCCTGGATTTTGGGAAGAAAAAAAAAAGTGCAAATGCTAAACCCGGTAGCAAAACGCGTATATGCAAAACCTATGAAGGAAGAAGAAGAAAAATGATGCAGAAGATTGTCAAACAGTAATACCACGGTTCGGGGGCAGACTAATAATAAATCGGCTTCTTTGGCTTTTTCCAGTAGTATTGCTAAGCACCCGGTCAGTTTATGCACTCATACCCATGCAAACAAAGAAACCACGATCATATCATACCTTGTGAGTTCTTCTGCACGCCCTCAACCCAACTCTTCCCATTCCTTGCACGACAGCATCGCGTCTGCCCGAATCTGTATCACGGTCGGGGATATAGTAATATTCGCTTTCTAGTGGCTTTCCAGCCGCGTCTTTACCAGATCGCTTGATTTCTCCCACGCAATGAAGGTTATTCAAAACGTCAATAAGACGCTCCTTATTAACCAATTGTGCAAGTGACGATGGGAGGTTTGACAAGAGTGCAGAAAGCGGGGTGGAAGAAAGACGCGAGAAAGCAAGCTGGTTGGTGATGTGATTCTGGAGAGTGTTGGCCTTGGTGGGAGAAACTGATGCACTTCGACGCTTTATAGGTGAGGAGAAAGCGGATGATCCACGTGTAGCATACGAGGTTGGAGGAGTGGCTGGAACACCGAGGGGTTCGGCAGTGGAAAAGGTGACCATGGGAGGAAGTGACGGCTCCTCTTCCCGGAAACTCTGCGCAATGGCATCGGAGTTATCCTCGAAAGAATCACCATCCTGATCGTCATCTTCGTCTTCACCCTCACTATCACCAAGCAGAGACTTCATTGCCTGGGCAATCTCCTCCTTCTCAGGTGGCTCGTGGAGGGTAGACTGGGTCCCTTCCTTGAAGTCAGGCACAGGTTCATCCTCGTAGATTTCCAAAAAGGTGTCAGTCATCTGGGATTCTGCCAAGAGCATGGAAGACGAATTTCCGCCTCCCCTTTTATGCAGAGGAGAGGCAGGCGAACGGTTGCGTTTCTCACCGAGCATAGCACCACAACGACGGATGCTGTTTCTCGCATCAGGACCACAGGGATCAACATTCTCATCGTTATCATCTACCCATCCAATGGATGGACTCCTGGTTATCCTACCAGTGGGCGAACCCAGGGCCGGGGCACCCGCAGAACGAGACCAGTGACCTGGCCATGCAAGGACCACACGTGAGTCTTGGACATCAAGCATAATCTCTGCATGCTCAGTTTCAGATGTGAACACATCTCCCTTCGCCAGCTCCCAGGCATGGCCCTGGCAATGAACCTTTACACCGTTCCAACCCAGGCATTGGATCTCAACCTTTGGTCTTGATGTTGTGGTCAGATACAGTGCTTTGACATGGACGCGTGAAATGAGTCTATTGGCAGAAAGTTGATAGTGGGATGAATTGCTAGACCTCCCCAAAAGGAGGGGTTCACCGTTATCCGGGAGGGTGATAGATGGTATACCACCCAAGGGAGAACGTTCGGAAAGAGCAGGTTGACTGTGTTCGAGTACAGGTTTGCACGATAGCTGAGGAGGGGGAGACGAAAGGATACCGAGAGAGGATGAGGGAACGGGAGTCGGATATCTATTCTCGCTCTCGGATGTGTGAGACTTGTGACGTTTAAAACATGGTGGAGAAGAGCTCGGTTCGAACGCTGGCAACAAAGAGCCAGGTGCTGAGCGTTTTACACCAGCGGCAGTATTATTCACGTCGAGGACCCTTCGTGAAGGTGAGGAATCCATCGAGGTTCGGCCGGCTGGCGTTTTAGGGATTTTATTTTTCAGTCGTCCTCTATTTTCACGAAACGGTGAAATAGGGATAAATGAATATTTTTATCGATGGTATGAAAACGGACGGTACGATTATACCCCTTTAGTTGGATAAAAGGTCGCGTGGTGGATGGAATTGAAGCGGGAGAAGGGGGATGGTGGGTTCCGTAGTCGGTAGGAGCGAAAAGCACTTTACACGCAATTGTGATTAGGAACACGGGAGCGTGTAGAGCGGTGCACGCAGCACGATATCCAAGAGCGAGAGAGTGAAATGGGATTGTACAAGCAAAGAACGAGAGAGAGAAGATGGAAAGGAAGGGAGAAGAAAGACGAAGCCAGGACAGGCCGGATCGGATTCCCTCCAAGTTGGCAGGCTGGTTACTAGTGAGCAGGCAGTGAAGGAGTGGAAGTGACAGTGGATTGAAAAAAAAAAAAAAAAAGGTGAGAAAAAGTTACAGACGGTAACTGTAAGTGACAGACCGAGCAGGAGACGCTGAGACCGCCCCAGGCTCAGTTAGAAGGGAAAGCAATAATTTTGCAAAGCAAAGATTTGCAGTTGCCAGACAGAAAGAGGAGAGAACAGGGGGAGAGGGAGGGGAAAGAGGAGTGATTCGAGTGAAGGGAAGAATGAAGGGGGGGGAGAGAATGCGGTACATTCAGTCACTTACGATACGGTACTCAGTCAGCTTGCAGCGGAAAGAGGGGGGTTGGTGGTGGTGACCGCAGCTGCGTAAGTTGCGCTGGGTGGTATTTGACTAAAGTGAGTGAGAGGCAAAGGCTTCCCTGGACATTCTTGTGCGAGATGGGGCCTATTTTCGCTCCTCTCAACCCTTCTCCGGTGCTTGTTGGAGGCGAAATATGGGATACGTTACAGTACTCTATCTGAAGGCATGATGAAGCGGGAATATGGGGAGGAAAACCCTTTTTGCAGCAGCAGCAGCAGCAGGTTCCAGCGTCCAGCCCCCATTCCAAGGAATCAAAAACCCAAGGAAGTAAAAGGGAAGAAAAGGATGCCTATAATCCCAACTAAGAAGCCCCTGGCTCCATAATGTAGGAATGGGGTACTTGTGCTATTTAAACACCTATCCCCCATTCCATACCTTACGCACGGTGAGTGAGAAAGTTTCAATTCCACTTTTAACAAAATTGCCATCCCGCTCCCTTCTCTGCGCGCTCCGCAATTTATCGAAGGGCGCGTCAAGGTAACGCGTCTCTCGGCTTCCAACGCGCAGCCCCTTGTATTCATTGGTTGCGCAACCCTGTGACTTTTCTTGGCATTCCAACCTGGTGGGGTCATCATTCATCCAGCTCCGGCCCATTTAGGGCTAGTCCCTTCCGGTTCCCCAGCTAACCTTTTCCCTCTCTTTCTCTCCCCTTCATTCCCGGGCCCAGTAACGATGCTCGATGCGATATCATAGATATTTTATTCGTAACCCATCACCACGGCAACACTACCGCACCGCGGTCACATTGGATGGGATCACGGTGGAGAATCGGGGGTGCCAAAGAGGGTAGGAAGGGACGGAATTGGTTGGACGAGGGGCGCCGGCGGCGTAGGAGAGCAAGGGTTATTAATATTATTATAGATGGAGCACGAGGATATGTATCCATGATGTGTTCCTCAGCCTGCCCGTGGTCAAGCATGTCTAATGTCATAAGCCATACTGTATGAGTACTGTACGAGTACTTGATCTTGATCCACGCTTCCGACGCAAAAATGAATGCTACAGCCGCCCTCTGCTGCGAGTAGAGTCCTCACTTGTACCACCGAGACCGCAACCCCCATCAATCAATCAGTCAATCGGACCCAATAGCCGCTTCCCCATCCAGAGATCCCTTGCCGTGCAAACAAAAGACCCAAACCAACCAAGCATCATACGGCACAAGGGTATCTACCGACCTTACCGTAATGTATACAAAGAGTGCTCGAGTAAGGTAAAGTGAACCCCACGCACATCGGGAAGGAGGGGGAGCAAAAAAGAAAAGAAAAAGAAGAGAAAAGAAAAAAAAGCCTTCCAGCCTCGCATTCTATCAGGCAAACAAAATCCGAATCCAAACCGAATCCCGAGAAAGAGGGAGAGAGAGAGAGGGATTACTGTGCTTTCTATGGACGGCTTAGTTCTTATCTGGTCTACCGCAGCCAACTTTACTCGAACGGACCGAGAGTCAATCACAGGCTCGCAGTAATCCCGACGCACCATTCCCGCATACCGTGCACAAAAGGTCGGCATAAATATCATATAAAGCTACGGCACAATATATGCCGTGCATCCACAGCAAACTGCGGGTACCCGGTCACTTGGAAGCGACTTTTCCTTTTTTCTTCCCTTTCCTTTCTTTTTTTCCATTTCCCCTCCCCTCTCCACAGCACTGTGATGTATCATACCGGAACGGCAGTCAAGACATCCTCCAAACTCTCACCCACTTGAAACCGTCTCACATCGGCCTCACTATTCACACGCCCACTCACTCGTTCGGTGTACTCGTACAATGCCGTGACCAACGCTCAGTAGCAATTCTACCGAACCCCGTTAGGTGACCTGACCCGACTTGAACGTGCCTGTCCATTATCACCGGTACTTCCGGCGCCTACGGTAGGTGCAAAGAGCGGTAGATACCGGTACTCGCGTTCACGAAAGCGGGCAAAAGTTGTCACCATATAGGGATTGAAGAGGCTGATCCATGACAAGGCGAGACGTTACCTGTACTGTAATCGAGTACTAGTACCGTTCCTGTTAAAGCATCATCTAGGTAATTCAAGATTATTACATAAGTTATCGTATTGTCCACTGCAATGGTCTACACCAGTTGCCTCTGAGTGGGAAGAAAAGAAAAGAAAAAACGCGTCTGGAGAACGGAGCACGTGATTGCGCTAGGACATATTTGGAGGTGTAATTGACTGCATACCTGTACCCACAGCACGACAAATTAGGGTATGAGGGTATAAGTGCCGTATGGCGGTGGCTGCTTCGGCCGGGGGTTTTGCTGTTCCCGGTAGGGTATTCGCTCGGAACGTGGTGGAGGGAGGGGGGAGGGAAGAGATTGAAGGGAAAGGAAAGGGGGTGCGTACTGGTGTATGATACTTTGCAAACACCGGTATTCATCACGATGAGATATCATATTATAGTACTCGTACTTGTCACCATGGATACCGTGGGCCCTGATGTTCGTTTGCCCCCACGGCACTGTTTGACATGATTGTAATGGCCCCTCCCGCGCTCACCATCACATCTTCCATAATGGGGCACCGTTCATCAACCTTCTCCCCCATACACCACACACCCTTTCTCTTCGGCGTGGATTGACCGGTGGAAAGGGAGTAATATATCATAATAACTCGCCTCAACCTACCGTAGACCAACGGCCATCACAAACTTGGTGTTATATCAATTGTTGCAAACTATGATACAGTACCAGTCCAGTACGAGTACATATACCGGTATGGGCCCCTCCGTTTCCATCTTTTTTCTTATTCCTCCCTTCCCAGTTACCCGAGTATCGGATTGCGATGTAGGGAGACAGGAGGAACATATATATTTATATATGCTACAAATACCGGTAAGGCCCACCGATAGAAAAGAAAAAAAGGAAAAGGGGGAAGAAAAAGAAAGGGAAGCAGGGGAAGAGATTATGGCACAATACCGGCAGGTTAAGGATGGATGAAGGGGAAATCATCATCCTTTAATTATGGGTGAAAAAGACTCCAGAGATTCTCTCCTTCATGCGGCGTGACCATCACTTCTAAAACCTCGTGAGCGAGGTCTATCACGGTCTCCTCTATCCCGGACTCCTGAAGCACCCCGTCGCTAAATGCCATACGCGTCATGGAGGCGATGTGCTTGTAACTTGCGCTTCCCGAGAGTTTTACCATCGCTTCTTGGGCATTGGTGGTGACGATAGCGTGGAGAAGGCGCACGGCCGAGTTTAGGAATTGGGAACTGTGGTGCAGTGGCTATTACTTAGTCCTTCAGTTGTTTTTCTTCTCTTTCTATACGGGCTACCGTATCTTCCTTTTCTCCCTCTTTCCTTTTCTCCCCCATTTCCCCCTTTCCTTTCCTTTTATTTAGGTTTTCTTTTTTTTCTTTCTTTTTCTACTCATACTATCCGTCTTCTGCCAAACCAGCCCGTTGAAAACCAGGAGAGGGAGAAGAAGGGGGGGCGGGGAGAGGGAAGGGGAAAGAAGCAAGAAAGAAAAGGGACTGCTGGGAAATACGGAAGCGAAGTGGGAGGAAAAAAACGTACCTTCTATCGGCTCCATATTTCCACTCATACACTTCCTCCAGTTCTTCTGCGATCCTCTTCGATAGCCTTGGCAATGCGACCTGGTGCTGGGCAAGAGCCTCATTTCCTAGACTTGTCCCCGCAACCATGCCCAGAAACTGCACTATCTCTTTCCTCAACTCCACAGCCTCAACCCTATCCCATTTCGGTTCACCCGTTGCTGATCCAGGAGTATCCGACAATACCCTCGTTATCGAAGCCAGAAGGTTAGATTCATTCTGGCGTTGGGCCGCCTCGTTGCTCCCTCGGGGTCCGAAGGATTGGCTGGTCACACTCGTAGAGAGGATCGATGCCATACGGCGTATATGCTCAATTGGTTGTGTGGGGTTTAACAGGATAAGGGGGAAGTCTGAGCGTACACTATGCCAAAACCTAACGTCGGTTAGCAGGAAAGAATTGGACCAGGCTTGGTGTCAAATCTCCTATCACACCTTCTCACATGGATTTCGTTTCCAACCATTCCCAAAGCTATGCTTTCCAAGAGCTCCAGGCAGGAGGTAACATCCACATATTTCTCGATTTTGGAAAAGTTCTTTTGGAACGTCGGAATGGCATTGATATCCACCGTCCGCTGAATCAATTCCACCGCCTCCTCGCAGAACCAGTGGCATTTACCACCTTGGTCCCAATTAACGCTGAACTGTAGTAGGTCTAAAAGAAACATTGCAGGCCCAAACTGATCATTGTCAGTACTAATATCCAGAAGTAGGAATGGATTGACGGTAGTCTTACGAATGACTCCTGCAAACATCTGGCCCAGAGATTAAGCAAAACTTTACAAACTCCAACCGAAAACTCCGATTTCGCCGCCGCGGTCTCCAGCAGCGTGACTTTATCCAGAAACAAGGATGAGATTGTGACACCAGAAGAAGAGGAAGGAAAAGAGAATCTTGTTAAAGCCTCCAACGCCCGTTCCCCAGATCGATTGACCCTATGCGCCACAAGTGCTTTTAAGAACTACTTCTACAATCAGCGATTCAACATTCAAGGAACCCGCGGATACTTCAATGGGACAAACATCAAACCGATCATCCTCCAGGAACATCCGCTCTAACAATGCCTCATCAACAACCTGCCACTGAACTTCCGTGAAAGAAGTAGATGTCCCCCTAGGCTGACTCAACGGCAACGGGATGATGGGGCTGTCCTGAGCAATCCTCTTCCTCTTAATACCTTTTGTTGGCGTCCTCCTCCCAGCCACCGTAGAGGGGCTCCCACCCATCATGATCTCATCGTCGTCAAATCCATCCCTGTGCTGCATCCCCTTCCCTTTCCGTGGGGTAGTAATAGGGCTCCTGCCAACCCTCCCGCTACTAATGACGACCTTCTTGGAACTCCGTATCTGCTTCTCGTAGTCCGCGTTCTCCTTCTCCAGGAATGCGTGTGTGGTTTTTAACCGATTGATCTCGTTCTCCTTCTCTGCGATTTGGGCATTGAGTTTGTCGGTGTTTTCCTGGTGCTGGTTCGTCAGGGAGGCGATTATTCGGGCGTGCTCCTTTTTCTCCTTTGCCAAGTTGCTGCGGACGATACTTGTTTCGCCGTCCTTGACTTGTCGGAGCGATACGAGTTCGGCTTCTTGTTGGGCTTTCAGGGTCGCTAGTTCTGATTCTAGACGGGTGTTTTCGGCTCGTAGCTGTAATCATTAATTAGTTCAACTATAATACACAAGAATAGGGGTTAAAAGAAAGGAAAAAGCGGGGAAAAGCTACCTCCTCCAGACGACTCAGGATGCCCTCCTCCTCACCCGTCATCCTGTGATCTCCATCTTCTTGAACATGCTCTCCATATTCGTTAGCGTACCTTCTGCCGATGTACTCTCCATTGAATTGTCCCTCGTTATATATATACTGTTCCCCACCGCCGCCGCCACCATCAATACCGATACTATTCCTTTCACCCTCCGCCCTCGGCGCAACATCATCAAGCAACTCCTCCGCAATCTCGAGGTCAAAGTCAATAGGTCCGTAATCCGAAGACGCAGCTTCAACCTCAACCTCTGCTGGTGGGGGCTGAGCCGGCTGCGATGTCAGGGGTCCAGATACGTACGGTAGGGTCGGAAGCGTCTCATACTCAACGACTGATCTCTGTTGTTGCAACGGAGGCTTGAAAGGTCGTTGGTAAGGTCTTCGCTGGGCGGGCGGAGCCGCGGCTGGCAGTGAAGATGCGGGTGAGAGGTACTGGCCTCGCGGAGGTTGTTGCCACTGTTGTTGTGGCCGTTGCTGTCGTTGTGGGGGTGGGAATTGTTGGTATTGGGGGTGTGATTGCTGGGCTGCTGCTCGCGCCTGGGTGCTCGAGATTGCGGCGTCTTCGAGTGCTTGTAGCTCGTCTTCTGGGAGGGCGTCTAACGTTTCGCCGTCGGAGAAGAAGTCTTCCTCCATTGTCCTATATCCATTGGCTGTTGGGAGGGGTAGGCGAGTTGTGTTGTGCGCGGTCGCCGTTCGGGTGGCGGCGGTGGGGGGGAAATTTTGGGTTTAGCTGCTTCTTGTTGTGTGGTTGTTTTGAGGGGTTTTGCCAAGATTTAGCGTTCCTACGACTGAATATTAGTGTCACGTGATCATGCGCAACAAAAGGTTCCGTTTAGTTGGGCGATTTTGCTATGGAACTTTTGATAAGGTGAAGTGGGATCGAGTTTTTTTAAAAAATATTTATTTATTTATTTTGGTTCAAGGGTATGAGACATTTAACACATATCCCCGCGGTCTACGGACACTAAAGAAAACACATGTAAATCACGACGTACGAAACAAACCGTGTAACTCCCTTCAAGGAATCCAGCCATTGCCTACTTATGGGTTTGCCTTAACAAATTCCTGGCCCTAGATGGGGGTTAGTAATGGCATGAATGAATGGGGTACCAGGTGCCATGCCTTCTTGATATTGGTCGCAAGGTCCTTGAGGGCAGTTGCAATCAGTCCCTCCTCATACTTGCTGACCTTTCCGACAGGGTGGATCTCCTTAACACCCTCCGGACCCAACTCAATCCTGGAGGAGAAGAATTCACAGCCATCGTCCTTGTAGAGCGGGCTCTGGACAAAGGCAGGCTCAAAGATCCCGGTTTCACCATATGAAGCACGTAGAAGGGAATCCGCCATCCGGCTCCCAGCGAAAGCCATAGAGAGGGTAGCAGAACCGGCACCACCCTTAGCCTCGACAACCTCGTCACCACCAAACTGGATACGTTTCACGAGGGCCTCTCTGGTCTCGCCGTCAATAGAGGGGTGGTTTGACTGGGATAGGAGAGGAACGATGGTGACGCCGGAGTGGCCACCGATAACGGTGACCTCTTCATTGGCGGGATCGGTTCCCTGGATCTCAGAGATGAATTTCGAAGCGCGGACAACATCCAAAGTGGTAACACCAAAGAGGCGCTTGGGGTTGTAGACACCCTTGGACTTAAAGACCTGATTTTTCGTCAGCATTTTCAGGCTTGAGACAGGTACACAGTGATAGCATACTTCTGCAGTGATAGGGACGGTAGAGTTGACGGGGTTGGAGATGATAAGGAGCTTAGCATTAGGCGCATGGTTGGCAGCGGCCTTGGCCAGGTCACGAACGATGGAGGCATTGGTTTTGAAAAGATCTAAGAGAATCAGTCTGGTATGGGATTAAGGTTTGCTCAAGAATATTCACCGTCACGGGTCATTCCGGGCTTGCGGGGAACACCAGCAGGGATAAGGACAATATCGGCACCCTCGAGTGCAGCCTTTAATTGTTCGGGGACCGCGTCATAGCCGGTAACTTTGCTTTTTGTGTTAACATGAGAAATATCGGCAGCAACACCTGAATGGCGCAATTAGCAGCTATAATGCAAATCCAGCTACTCTGGAGGGTGGGTATGTTAAATACCTGGTCCACCCCGGATATCGTACAAGGCCAACTCGCTAACTCTAGGATTGAGCTTGAGAAGTAGAGATAGAGGTTGGCCAATGCCACCAGCAGCTCCCAGAACAGTAACCTTGGAGTTCTAAATCGCCAAGAGTGGAGCAAAGTTAGTGGAAGCTCTTGTAGCAATCAATTCTGGAAGAAGCCATGGGTGGAAAAATTTCTTCATTCAGCCGGGATGATTAGTGGCCTCTGGGTACAATACCTGCTGAGCAGAAACAGAGAAGGCACGTCTTCCAATGGCCGAGAAAGCTGATCTAGCGGTAAACATGATAACAATGGATATGATCGAGATGTTTGGATGAAGACTGAGAGAGAGGGGGTAATGTCTACTATGGACAGAAGAAGGAGAAATGTGAGGGGAAAGGTGGTGATGGGAGAGAATTGAAAAGGTTAAAGTGACGATGCAAAACTAGGGTGGGATTAACCCCCATTGGCCTGCCAGCTCTATCACGCAAAACACTCGCCAAGCCGAAACAACTGACATTTCTCTGTTCTCTGCTGATTGGCTAAGACGCATATTGGGGGAATTTATTGGCTCAAGTCAACCTACTGTGGTTCTTGGCGGCCAGGATCAGTAGGTTTTGCTGTCTGGATTTCTCGGCAAATTCCGGGAGGCTCACGAGATCCAATTACACATTGGTATCAAATCCCGCACACTTTCGAGATTTATTAATTGCCACAGTTTCTCGCCCTAGTTTCTTCCAATTATCTACCGTGCCATTTGTTACACAACCCGGATTTACCGCTTTCTGAATTTCCTTATCAGTGTGTGGATTTATGCAGTTTCGGCATTCTGAGGGGTCTGCTGTGGGATTGTCACATTTTTTCTTAGGAGTAAATAATGGTATTGGTAGGTAGCGGCACCTACCAAGTTTTGTGGAACGATCTAAGGCTCGAGTTGGAAGTGTCTTTGCTTTTAGGTTGTGCTTCGAGTGGGGTAAAGTCTTTCCTGTCGAGTGATAATGGGTGCTCGCAAGCCAAGTGGAATGTATGATATTACGGATAATTGCGGATTATTTGCGTGTGATACTTGAATTCTAAAAAGTCAAGTATCATGAATCGCAACTTGATAGTGCACATGCCTTTCTCCTGGGGGGTAGGCACGAGAGGCCTATCATCTATCGTCACTCGGTAACAGTTGAGGTCCCCTGATCGATATGTGGTAGCTTGGATATGTCTACACCTATTTCGGTATTATGGGGGGGGGTTAGAATTCTGTGTCCTGCCATTAAAGTACTTCCAGTGGAGGCAGAGCCATGCTTTTTTAATCTTATTGTTGTTCCATTTGCACTTGTAGCCCTTACAGCTGCATACTGCATCATGGGAGTGGTGGGATACATGTAAAATGCATAAGAACGTATCATATCATATGTTATGTGAGAGCATCCACACATCTGACTGAGGCTCATTCACCGATGCCCTCCTGCTCATGAAGGGCCCTGGGTAGGATAAAATATGGTAGAACTCTCATGTTACACCTTCTCTCCTCAGGTACACTTTAGTGCCAGAAGCCGTCCCTTTCATATCGCCTTGTATTTACCCCTCTGCTTATATTCGTCTGGAGTTTTGCCGGGTGATGATCTTTCAATATGCCTCGGGGAAATGGGGATAGGGCTCTCTAGAGCTTTCTTGCACTTCAGGCTCTTCACCTTGTCCCCTAAGGGTCGGGGTTATGTTTCTCTTTCTCCCCGTATTCTGAGTTGCAACACAGCGCAAGTAGTCCACTCAAGAATGACCCTCCCTGAAGCCTTGTAATGTGGTGGCAAGTAGCCCGGCATATTTTCCTATAGACCAAGAATGTGGTTACTGGGTATCCTGAAGCCCGCCCTCTGTCTTCCTATTGGCATGAGCTAGTTGAGGGGTCCGAGGAGATTCTCGGCTATGGTGCATCCGTAAGCTCAACTTTCTCCTGACTTCTGGAATTCACCGTATTAATCTTAGATTTCTGTATTTTTTTAATGGGTGATGTTTCTTGAAGCTTGGCAGATTTTGTTCGGTTGTGGTTACCACAATGAATAATTACAATAATAATATTGTATATGATTTATGAGGATCTCGCTGAGGGGATTACTGTATATGCAAGTATCGGGTCGGGGTCACGAGTATGATATGATACCTCAGTAGTCAGGGGGCTCTGTTGTCCGGAGTACGATGGAAGTGGTTGGTACTGGTGTGTGTTGTTGCAGGAATGATTGTTGTCGCGGGAATGTTAAGGGTGTAACTTATAGATGGAAGGAATTGCTGGAACGCGAACTGGTATGGAAACCAGTAGGGAATGTAGGAATCTTGAAATCTAGGAGGTCTCCCTGGACTGGGGAATTTGGATATGCTGCTGCTGTTCTGTTACTGTAATATAGTAATATGAGATTCTGTAAGGGTTGACTTCGGATTTCAGTTTCTGTTGGAAATATCCATACCAGAATACACAAGTACGCGTCAGTGGAATGCACTAGAGTTGAAAATTTTTCTTCACAAACATTTCCTTCCCTCTTGCCTTCTCGCCTTCTTTTATCTCCTCTTTTCCTTTTCTAACTTTCATTATACCAATCAAGAGAACATCTCAACTCTCAATACAATCGCTTTATTGGGTGCAAACCTCTGATCGGATCATTACCTCCATTTTAAACTCGATGGTTATCTCCGTTTTCAACAGTTTCCTCAGAATCCTCACCGAGTGATCTGCCGTGACGCCATTTTGACGACCGACAGGGTCGATCGCTCGTTCTCGTGATCAAAAGGTTCTACTCATACAAGCCCCATCTGTTTTGCTATTCACCTTATCAATCCTGCAACAAAGCCAGGCCGAATAGTACGAGAAGAAGGAGGGCAAATGCTAAACAATTCCAGGAGCCTGCTTCCTAAGCTCCAGTGTAAACACCGCCGGCGCACCCTCAAGGTGCAAGTGAATCACCTCACTTTCCAAACGATTGCTCGTACTAACTAGTCCGCCGAACTTGCTCTCCTGTCTCTGCAAGTCCCATACTAAACCTGAGGTGGTCATGACGGACCCATATCCGACGGGAAGGATCCCACAGGTGGGCCCGAAGACGCTATGTGGGGTGAATATAGTGTTATCCCCCACAGGCAGTAGAAATGTGATATTCTCCGAGGAGATCAGGTAGATACTATGTGTATACGCGGTTCTGTAGAGTATGTTAATCTAGCTCCCGCCCGGGATTAGTGTCATTAACCTACTGACGAGAGTCAACGAAGAGGATGGGAATATAAAATACAGAATGGAAAGAATGATCAACCCTCCCGCCGAACCCTCCCAAGGCGAGCACCGTGATTTCAGGCTGCATCCCAGAGATCTTAACCTCGTTACCACTTTCCATCTCCTCTTCTACAGTCCTGTAGTCACCAGGTGGAGTCAGGATTGGCGGGAAGCCCTTCGACTGCTCGGAGATCCAGGAGAGGCATTTTTCAAAGTCTGTCAAGTCCTGGTCGACCACTTTGAGGATTTCGACGCCGAGGGTGGAGTAGTATGATTGCACATCGGGCCTTAGGGAGTCAAGGTCGCCGGCTATGCATGCTGGGGCCTAGGGTTGTGTTAATCAGAGAGGAAGAGAGGAGGGTGAGGGGACGGACGTGCGAGAAGCGGTCTTCTTCGGTGGTGTAGGCGTCGTAGAGACGGTTTGCACCACCGTCGGCACAGATAACCAGTTTACCTGGGGGGAGGATTTGGCAGGTTAGAGTTTTCCTATTAATTTATTGAGTAACGGGTTGAAGGGGGTTTGTTTTATTGCGGGGAGGGGTATTACTGTTTTTGTAAAGTGTCTCAAAAAGCTTCAAGTTCGTGATTTCCTGATTTAGGATTATTAGTGCGAAAGATTGATTATCCTCACCCTCATCCCCAGATGAGTCGAAAAAGTCCCCTGGCATCCAGATCGTTGCTTCTGTGGATTGCTCGGCGCCCATTGTTTGCTTCGTTTATTGAAACAGTAGGACAATCCACTGTCTGTGTGGGTGATTGGTCGGCTGGGGTGTTTGTTGAATGGTAGAGAACCAAAGTCGTTGGATCAACGGGCCAGACTTGTACAATTCTGTAAGGAGCAAATCTCGGCTTCAAAATTTAATTAAAATTTCAAGTGTGGAATGAAGTCATCAGTTGCAAGAGCAACCGACCCCGGTTATAGATCTCATCTAATCTTATCTCTACTAAATCCGATTATCTTTACAAATCTTATCGCCAATCTGCTTAGTAATTATACCGAGACAAATTGTGTCCTCCGTCCTGAACTTTCATACTTTCTTTCTCCCAATTGATCCAGGTTTCATAATCCTCCCCTACAGTTACGGCTAGGCAAATGTCGGTACTCAGGCCCGTTGGTCGGTCGCTTCTGGGCCGCCAGATCCTCTCGACACCTGTGCGCCCTACAGTTCCAGCATTGCTACTAAATAATAGGTCACTTTTCACCCCCACTCCGGGGCAGAAGCGATCCAGCTTCAAGTCATTTGTTGCGAGGTGGGCTGTGGCGGGTGGTTTGATTTACGCGTATGCTACTTCTAATGTTTTTGCTGATGAGCCTAAATGTCTGTTTCCCCAATTCGTTCTCGCTCGCTTGAATTGGATTGATACTGACCAGGCGTTAGTCCCCCAGGATGAGCTGAAGACTATACCCCCCGAAGACCAGGACCGCCCAAAGTCATTGCTACCCGAGAAGGGAGGGAAGTTGGGAAGGCGGCAGAGGTCGGACGCTGAGGATGATGGGCTCTTGACCGCGGATGAGGCCCGAGGAGGACCGGAGGATTTGGAGGCTGAGGCGGGACAAGAGGGGGCCTTTGATCCGGAGACTGGAGAGATTAATTGGGATTGCCCTTGTCTTGGTGGAATGGCTCATGGTCCTTGGTGAGTCCGGGCTGTTTTGGTTGTGATGAGTAGGGGCTGGCTGGGATACTGATTGTTAGAGTTTAGTGGGGAAGAGTTCAAAACTGCTTTTAGTTGCTTCGTTTTTTCGAAGGAAGATCCTAAAGGCGTGGATTGTATTGAAAGGTTTAGGTGAGTTGGCACTTGCCTTGTAGGTGCCGAACATCTACTGATAGCTGATCCGGTTACCAGGGATATGCAAACTTGCTTCCAAAAGGTGAACTGCTCATTCATGGGCTAAATTGAGGTCTTTGTTCTTTTCGAAACTATCTGGAAGCTTAGTGTA